AGTGGAAGAGTGGGGGGGGGGGGGGTTGGAGATTTAAGTCACACGGGGACAAATGTACAAAGAAGAAGGGTTAAAGTAGTAATAATAATAATTTAAAGGTCCAGGTTTACGACAGACCTGGACCTTGGTCCTGCGTGTGACTTATAGCACTGTGCCCTTTTAACAGCAGCCATATGCAGCACTTGCTCTATTCAGAGCAAAAGAAAACAAACATTAAATTTTCAGTATGCACTTTTCGGAGAGTATGGTAGCTCTCAGAAGATTTTCCAGTCAGCTGAAATCTGCCTGGAAAGGGCTTTTTTTTGTTTTGTTTATGTTGTTTTGTTTTTACTTCCTAGTCTACATCGCAAACAACCAAAGAACGTCCCTTAGATAATATCTGCTCTCTTCAGCTGCAGCAGAATTCTTTTAACCTCAGTGCTCTATTGTCTTAAAAACAAACCGGACCCAAGCCGAACAGTTTTCCAGAAGTGTTGGTGGGAAGAAGCACCACCTCCACAGCATACCAGATGTTCACCCTGCTTCACCCCCGCCTCGCCAACAATGGCTTTAACTACCATAAAAGTTTCCCAAGGACAGAACATCACCACCCAAACAAAAGCAATGTTTTATGTTGTGTAGTGCACCGAGGTCTGTCCTGACTGCACGATGGAAACGCCGGGCTGCCAGTGCGCAGAGCACAATTGAAGAGAGCAGCTCCAGCTGAGCAGGCCAGGTCAGAGCAATTATATCTACAGGACAAAGGATGTTGTTTTTGACCACGAGAAAGAACACATTCAGCCAGGGCAGAGAGGAGGCGTGAGCGAGGAGTGAAAAAGTCACCTGGTAAAACCAGACCTTAGCACAGAGCTGGCTATCAACATGAGCCACCCTACGATGTGGCCCAGATTTTCTTGTTCTGTAACAGTCACCTCTCAATTAAACAGGCGAAAGTTCAAGAACGCACAGTCAACTGTGGCTCTACTGCACGTCATGTCAAACTCTGCAGAAATATAAATCTGTCATCAAAATTCTGATGAGGATTTAAGAGAGCACACAGGAAGTCCATATACAGTGGAACCTTGAGATACAAGCGTCCAGACATACAAATATTCCGAGATACAAGCAAGCCTTCGAGCAAATTTTTGGTATGAGATACGAGTAAAGATTTGAGATACGAGCACGCTGACAGACACCGACACTAGGTGGCCGAGCACTCAGAGCAGCCCACACCGCCTCACTGGTTCATTTCACGTGTTCGTCGACTTCCATACGCATCTCACATGAGTCTTCTGTATTGTGTTTACGTTAGTTTGCGTTATCTACGTGATTTTTTCTCTATTTTGTGCATTTTGTACAAATCAAACAAAGCAAAAAAATAAAATAAAATTGAAAAGTAAATAAAAAAATACGTAAGTTAAGTTAATTCTAAGTTTATGTAAGTTGCGTAGTGTACGTGTAAGGTACGGTACGTCCAGGCCAACTCTCTTCCCTCCCTAACCCTAAACCCTTAGCCGCTACGGTATCGTCTGTCTCAAAGGTAAGAACCACATTTTATTTTATATCACAGGAATACAATTTACAATTTTTGTGTGTGTGTCTCTATAGCAATTAAAAACATGTTTTTTCAATTGTTATTAGCGCTAATAAGGGAGAGAGAGGGCCGGAATGGATTTTTTTTCTTTCTGTTATTTCTTATGGAAAAAAAATATTTGAGATATGTGGACCTTAAGTTACAAGCTCGATCCTGGAACAGATTATGTTCCTATCTCGAGGTTCCACTGTACTTAGAGAGAAATGAAGTACTGGAGTGTTCTCAGGGGCATGTGGTGGCATGAGAGAGGAAACAAGCAGCAAGTGTAACAATATAAATAATCAACAGGGCGGCAGCAACTCCTCGCAATGCTGCGGTGAAAATTTAAATATGCATATTTTATGCAAATCTTAAAGGAACAAGAAAACAGAAGAATAAATAAATTCTGTTTTTTAGGTTCCAGGGATTTACCTGCAAGAAAAGGGGAAAAGGAACACGATGAGGAGAAAAGTCTCAAATTTAAGGAAGTATTTGTATTATACTGTAAGGTGAAAACAATTTATTTAGGAGTACTCTTTTTGGTGGAGAACAGTGGGCTGGACACTAGGATCAGTCATGTAATTAGGCTTCAACATGTAGTGAAGAAAATGGGAAAAAGAAAACAAGCAGCCACTCAGCAGCTTGAGTGTTAGACGTAAAGTGTCAAAAAGGAAAGCAAGAATAACACTGGACCTTCAGGACAGTAAACAAAAAAAAGTGATTAGTAAAAGTCTATGCAGGAAAACTGACCTCATTAAGACCAGAGGTCATGTGACCATTTTATATTTTTTATGACGTTGAGGGAACATTGAGTGAATATCTGCTGTTAACACAAAGATATCCCAATTATGGGATCAATACAGTTCAATTTGTTTTGTATTTGTGATTGCATTTTTTGTGCAATTTTTGTAAAATGTTTCCATGTTTAATCTGTTTTCCTCTGAAATCATATTTTCACTTTTTGTTATTGGTACTTTATATATATATATATTGTATTTGTATTTGGCAATACTGTGCATTTTGCACCAAGTGCATTTTCCACAAGATAATTTTATACATTTCTCCAACACACACTGTGCAATATACTGTATACATATATGTTGGCAGTTTTTAAGGCGGTAGTAGCCAAACCATGCTTCTTCACTTATGATTTTTCTGCTAATCCCACCAAAATCATTAATATTATCATTAATCCAATTTCAATATTACATGGTATTTTATTTTTTTATGTTTTTAATTCATGGATAATAGATGGGCATTGATGGACATTATAGAACAAATGATAATTACATATTTGTTTTAGTCGTAATATCAAACAATCCAATGTGTTAAGGATGACAGGTTATAACCAAGCAAGATAAAGGGCAATGGTACATTTCCATTCCAGATTCGGATGTGAGTCCAGAAAATATGAATGATCCATGAATGTTCACTCCATCTCAGTTTTGTTTATTTTTTATTCCCCTATAAGATGAGTAGTTCTATTTGCAGTTAGCTTTTATTGCACAAAAAAACACCTTTCACCAAAAAGGGGCCTTTCACTCATCCACACAGACACACACACTGTCAGACCGCTTGTACATGCGTCACTCTCCCAGCCCTGGGAAACCACAGCACTGGTGGAAGGCAGCGCTGCCACAGTGTTGTACTTTATTACACCTGGATCTGTGAGCCTCATGCATTTTTAATGGATGTAATTTGCACAGGGCCTGCATGTGTCGGTGTGCACTCCATCAGAGGGCCTGCCTCACACCTTATCTATATTCCCCGCTCACGCTGCAATTGCTCTTCTGAGGACAAATAAAGTGTAGACCTTGGTACCGAAGATTATCAGATGATATGGTCTTTATCACACAGTGATCGGAGAGAATAAAGACATATTGTACAAGTCCGTCCTTTCACTGTGGGCGCCTGCCTTCACTCCTTCAACAGGAGGCACTGTTACAGAGCAGCCGCTGCACTGTTCCCACTGTCCGGCAGCTACAACTTTGTACTTGGTGATTTATAGCTTTAAAAGTTACTCGTTTCACAGACAAATTCTGTTCTGCCAAAAAGTAATGTTTGGTGTTTTATAGCAATTACAGATATGGAGCAATGATGAATGCTAGTGATGGCTGTTTGTGTCACGGGGCCAAATGCTCTGTCCGGTTTACAAGAAGTATTTCTGTGAAACAACATGTCGGACAAAAATGTTTTACTTCTTTGTTCCTTTTAAAAACCACTGCTCGGGTCAATGTGTAACAACCGTCGTCCAACTGATGCAGTGAGCCTTTGAACTCACTCTCTATTGTATGAAAGTAATCCTTCAACATACCTGACGGGCGCGTTCATCACATCTGGATCTCTGGCAGTGACGATCCCGACTAGCGCCCCCACTCTGGTGTCCTCCTGCACCTCCATGATGGTGCCGTCGGCGGGCTGAAAGATGGGCGGCTCATCCACGTCTGAGACGCTGACCCGCACAATGGTCTGGTCCTTGAAGGTGCCCAGGTCCACGAAGCGGGGGTCCACGTGCTTGTTGACGGCCTCAACCACCACGTTGTGTGTGCGTCTGCTCTCAAAGTCCAGGGCCTGAAAGAAAACAAACAGAATCCAAATCAAGAGATGAACCACTGGGAGGGAGCAAGCCACCACTAGGGGGTGCTATATGTATGTATAGCATCACTAGGGGGTGCTATATATTTATTTATGTGTGTGTGCGTGTCTGGGTTTGAAGGTGTGGGGCCGGGGTGTCAAACATATGGCCCATGGGCCAAAACTGGTCCGTTAGGGGGTTCAATCCTGCCCGCTTGATACATTTTAAAAGTAAAAAGAAACACTCAAACCCTTTATGTCCATGATGTTTTGTCAAAGGAATTTTTATTTAATATGAATAGAAATCCAATATACTCTAACTTCTTTGCACCTTAATTTCTCAAAGGCAACTCCTGAAGGATTAAAAAAGTTCTATCTATCTATGAAAAGAAAAGGGAAAAAGAAGGACTTATTGTTATTTATAGATAATTATGTTATGATTGTACTGGTTTGGCCCACTTGACATCTCATCAGGCTGTATGTGACTCCTGAACCAAAATCAGTTTAACATTGTCGGTGTGGGGAATAGGGGATCATCAACCCAGAGACGGGTTCAGAACCAAAACAGTTTGGGATTCACTGCCATGAAGGAAGGAACGTGGAAAGTGAACTACTTGTCATTGTGACCTCTGCTTTTAACCCATCACCAAAGTGAACAGTGGGCAGCAAAGTGAACAAGAGCAGTCTTTGGGGGGGGAGTGCCATGCTCCGAACACCTCAGTGGGAACTTGGCGGCTGGTGGACTCGAACCTGAAGCCTTCTGGACCCAAGTCCACTTAACCATTAAGAGACCACTGCCTGATCTTTACTGATGAAATCGGTCTAACTAATTCATTTTGTCAGACACTGTTTTTTAATGCAAGATTAAAAAATTACCAGGGAAAAGAACCATTTGAGAATAAATGACAGAAAAACAAAACCTTGATCCCAGTGAAAGAAAGAGGGTTAGGTATTTTCAAAGATCAATTACTTCACCTCACACGACGTTTTGGTGCATTAAATAGAAATACCTACGCCCTCTCTGTCAACATCATTAATCCAATCTAATCAGCACAAGACTACTAACAGGTTCTATTCAATTCCACTGAATGCATAAAAACTTGATTTGTCCCCTGGTGGCAGTTCAAGAAAAGTGGATTTCTAACAAACTTCCAATCAATTCTCACAGGATTCTGACAGGGACACCAGGAACTCGCTGGTAATTGAAAAAACAACAACACGTGTTCCCAGAGACCAACCCAGCAGGTCTGATACCGCTGCTAAATGATTTTCTAAGGCAGCTCCACATTATTGTCTTCAGGCATTTAGAGCACGTGTGGGAAATAACCCGTGGCTCGTCAATTTAACATTTAGTCTTTTTTACGTGAAGTTAAGAGCAAAAGATGCCATTGAATGAGGTTTCAGCTTTATTAAAAAAAATCTGACTTTTTTTTACAGGTAAGAAAATGTCTTGGCGTGTTTTTGTCCTACCTTCTTGATGGAGACAACAGCTTCCTGTGTCTCCATATCAGTGGTGACCTTGAAGAGGTCTCCCCCGTCCCTGATCAGATAGGTCATGTCGGTGTTCTCTCCCATGTCCGTGTCTGTGGCGATGATGCGTCCGACTGGTGTCCCGACGGCTGATCCCTCTGACACAGTGAACTGGTACATCTCTGGTTCACCATAACCAGGGGTGGAGAAGGTAAAGAGTGAGCAGAGAGCAGACGGGGCAATCAGAGAAGTACAAAATCCAAAAAAAAAATAGTGAGGTAAAAATGAAGGCATTAACCATGAACATTAGTTTGCAAAGATTATTCTAAATTAATTAATTTTTGTATTTTTCCATATTACAGTTCCATCATTTGGGTTACTCAACACCTACTATCTATACCTGTTATTTGTCTCTCTGTTCCAACAATATAAAGAAAAACAAAGTTTTTGTCATTTACGTTGACTAATCTGGATTAGTCGGGATTAATCATGATGGATTACATCCAGGATTAATGAGGATTAAGCCTTAGAGAAAACTTCTACTGCTGAGCTGAACTATAGCTCCTATAATCGTTATGGTATCGACATAATTGAAATCTTATCAAATACAGTTCACTAGTATTGATAATATAATAATACAAATAAAAAGGTATTTCATCAAATGACCTTTTGATACTGTTATATTATCTTCATATGTATTAGGATGGAAATGTAATCTAGTAAATGTATTGTAATGCAGAATTCTATCATTGATTGTATTTTGGTGTTCACATATTTGAATATAAACACCTGGATGAATGAGACGAAAAGGACGGCGGCCATTCATTTTCACCAGGATTAAAGATTAAAAGAGAGCAGCAAAAAAAATACATTGTGAAACTTAATTGCTTCCAGGAGATCCACAAGGCAGAGGCGAG